TGTGCTTCGTGGTAGCTTTGCTGGCCTTCGCCTCATGGTTACCCTGCTCCCACCGAAGAGGGGGGAGTTGTAATACACGCAGTTTAGCAGTACCAAGTATGTAGTCACATGTCTGTAGTTGAGAGCTTGCCCAAAGGAGCATACACCAATTAACTTTGGCTCAGAAAAAAGTGAGCGTAGCTGTTTGCTTGCTTTCCTTTGTACACACTGTTGTTCGTGTGTTCAACTATCTCCATTGGGCGCTGCCGGACTTCCTGCGCTGATCCGCTCCTCATGGGAACACTTCGGAAGCTGCAACGCTACGATGATTTGACTCCTTACTTGTGTCGTGCTTCAGTTCCTGTACTCCTTGATATTGTAATCTGCACTGCCATTCCTTTGCCATTGCAATCCGCTGCTCTGCTGCCCTCTTTAGTTTGTAACTCAGAAGTGTTTTCTCTCTCATCCTACTCACATGCCTCCCTTTGTTCTTTCTAGCGGCCTGCATTTCCAGTTCTCTCCCTTGATGAAGCATGAGCAAATTAGTAAAGTTCTTAAACCTTTGATAGCGAATCACAATCCAGAGTCTTGGACCATGTAGGTCAGCTGCTATATCATGCCCAGTTCTAGTTCTGGCACTCCCTTGGCATGCCCTGGCTGCAGGCCTGCCTCCATCGCAACCCTTTTTCGATCCATCTCCAATGGTATCGATTGGGGCGTCGCCGCGGAGAGCCTTGCAACCATTGACCCTTTCTGGTCACTTCTGTTCTATTTTTACATAGCTTTCATAAGCTTTGCTGTATTAAATGCCACTTGGATGCGCAGGAGGATGTTTTATCCTGTTTTGTTTGAAGATCAATGCGACGTTCCAGCATGTTGGAGCCAACTGCCAGAACGGATAAGAATGGCAACTTACGCTTTTGTTTATAAAGGGTGTTGTCAATGGTGATGTGTGTGTTTGCATTTTCTGAGCGATGGAGACTGCTCACAGCAGTTTGACACAGCTGCGCCAAGCCAGGCGGAATCCTTAGATAGCTGCGTCCTCGTATTTGGGTTGGGTAGGGTGTTCCTCTTTCTTTGTCGATTCATGCTATGACGTTGTGTTGTTTTCTGTATTCTTGGGGGCAGCTTTGTGTATGGAAAGTATAGTTGCTAGGCCATGAAAACATGTGAAAGCAATTAACAGGTACAGCGCTTTTTCGTATTAAAGCCGGAAATATGTCTATTCACATGCACAGCAACACCACAACCCACCACCATAGCAAAACCTTTACGTGTATACTTAGAATGCCTGCCGCAACACGGACACATACTTCAGATGATGATTGATTTTTGTCGTTGCCCGCGAGGTAATCTTGGGTGGTCAGTGTCAGAGTCTAAAGCCTGTCCTTTCCCGCAAGATTGCCAATCGGACTCTCATGGGGTGGCATCGGTTGGCGGCATTTGCCCTGAAAAAGCACCGACGGAGTATGTGTACGGCTTTTGTTTTAACCGCCCGCGAGGTCATGATGGGGTCCATAGCATGGTGGTTTAGGCTTGCCTTGTTTGGTTGATTGGTTCATGCATGTTTGCTTGGAAGGTTTTGTTGTCATGTTGGCGGTGACTCACTATTTCCAGTGAGGGACCTAACCACGCTGGTTGCACTGTACCCTTTATTGGGTTCAGTGGGTCCACAGGGGTGCCCTGTTCATTTGGGGGCTGCTGGCACCGGAACAAACCTAGTTAGTTAGCCTGCCGTACCTGTACATCCTCGTGTATGCGTCCGGCAAATCTTTTGAAATCTCTCGCGAGGTCATGACGGGGGTGTTCTGTAATTCGGCAATAAAAGCAGCTGAGCGCGATCACGAGATGGTCATTCATTCACTGCTGCAGAGTCGCAAGGAATTCAAAGAGTTGGTGTCCAATCTTTTCCAAAGGATCGACGACTTGGGGCTTGGAATGATCACGATCTCTGAATTTGAGCGACACTTCAACGACGAAGCTGTCAGGGCCTTTTTTGAGTCGTTGGAGATGGGGGCGGTCGATGCCTGGACGTTGTTCGCCAGTCTGGATGCCGATGGCGACAACGTGATCAGCTTGCGGGATTTCACAGAGCGATGCATTCAACTGCACGGTCCTGCCAGATCTGTGGATTTGTACGCATTGACGCAGCAAAATGTAGCTTGGCATGCATTCCCGGTTTTCCTGTTGCAGGGCTTTCCTTCGTGACCGAAGGAAAAGAAAGATATGTCCTACTTGTAATCATTTTTCCATGCTGTATCCTGGGCTGTATGCTATGAGCAGACTTCTTGGCAGTCAGGTCAAACTTCGACAGCATTTACAAGCCATTGAATCTTGTCGCGATAGAGAGTGCAGTTGCTTCTGGTCATTATTTGTTGCATTGAGGAAGATCTCCAGCTTGAACTGGATCGACATGTCCGTTCAGGGCGTGGGACCCGTGAGGACGCTGCAGGCTCGCGACAAAGAGACCAGCAGGCCCGCAGGTAGTTTGTTTTGACTCGAAAAATGTCTGAGAAGCAGGTCACCATAGAAGTTTGTTTGTCAACAGTGTTGGTCAGCTTGCTAGTCTGTAATGAAGATGGGTTTGCAGTCCAAGACTCTATTCCAGGAGATGCTGCCATCTCAGCCGTTTGTGTCGGAAAAGCGAGAATCCGAAGGGACACATTGCCGAGTCTGAGTTGGAGGCAAGGAAGTGACATGAGAAACTGTCCCTGTGGCTGTGTGCCAAGATGCATGGAGTTAAGCTGAATATCGAATGTTGTTAAGAATTGCATGGTGTCCCCGAGCGGGATTGACAAACCAACAGGCATGCTTTAGTTCAGCAGCTTACATTTCAGTCATATTGTTCCACTGCGGCGTTGACAGCTTTTTTTTCCGAGGCGTGAAAGTTTTCCAGCAGTGTTTTGTCACAATTGCAGACTCTAAAGTTTGATGAGCATGGCAAGTCTACAATACAAGACTGTATTCACCGGGCCACGAAAGTCGTTTAACTGCCCTGGAAGTTTTGCACTACGTCCCAGATTTTTGGTTACTGAGCATCTCTTCCGCGGTGCGGATTCGTCATTCTGATCCGACGGTGAGGCAGGCTTGGTTTTTTGTTCCGTGTAGAAATAGGATGAGGCAGATGGTGCTAGGCACGGCTTCCAAGCTAAGTTTGCAATTCCCCAATGCTGTGGCAGCCTCGGCATGTTGCCCAACCCCTGTAACGCAAAAGGCGCGGACTGGTGCAACAAACCACATGGAGCGGTGGACGATTCGGTCCTGGCTGTAATGCTCAGCAGATAGCTGGCACAATCATAGGATTTGGTGAAAGAAGCATATATACTCCCATGCAAGCTACCGCAATGGTGGGATGCGGCAGGTCGACACCTGCAACTACAGGTTGTGTGTCTGGAACGTTGACAATGTGGTCATTCCAATTTGTCCCATTTTCAGGGTGATAAGCAGGGCATTGCAGCACTGCCTATCCTGACCCCTGACCCACCAATTGCAGCATGTGCCACAACAAAAATCTTACGCAGGAACCTGAATATCCCATCACATGGTGCACAGGACCCCAGCATCTAAACCCCTACAGCAGACCACAGGCGCCGCCTTCTCTTCGCTTTGTGTCTGAGTAGCAATACAAAAGCGTAGGAACTTGAGTCGCAGGATTTCTGGATTGAATCTTTAGGAGATTTTTCGGTCTCACCACTTTTCATGGTCACATCTTGCCGCTGCTGCAAGTTTGAGCTGCAATGCAGCTATTGAGACTATATGATTTGCCGGGGCTCCCTGCCAAGCAGCATACCCCTTCCAGAGGGATTGTTGACCTCGTATTCTGCCATTGATGCTCAGAACGTAGTTTGTGGTGCCTCGCCGCCCGTCATGGTACTGGTACCTGAGATCACCATTGCATTCCAACATACGGGGTTCACCCCTCCATGTATGCCGTGGTAAGCGACGATGTGATCTGGATTCCCAGCATTTCGCCGCACCAGCGTTCCAGATTAAAAGAGTTTTCTCAGTTGGCCGTTTTCTTAGTTGGCCATCTTGGAGCCAGTTCACTTTTACCTGTCCTGTGTGGAGCCATCGATGCATGACACCAACATTTTCAAAAGGTCATAGTCATCGTACCTGGCACAATCGGCAACATGCATAACCGAGATGCGGCAGAATCTTGTCTAAGTCTTCTAAGCAGCAAACTTCAGACTATCTTGATAAACAGTTCTTGGTTCATCGCCTTTGGAAGCCAATCCATCCTGACCGCAGCCCCCCTCCATCCCTTGTGAGCTTTGTCTGGCAAAGCCATGGCGGAGTTGGCTCTGGAGTCGGTGCGGCAGGCCGCGGGGTTTGCGGTACCCGAGGCCATGATTTCATGGAGTGAAGAATCTGGATTGAGTGCCAGACTTTTACCTGAATTTGTTGTCTTTAGCCATGTGCAACGCTATCAAGGGCGTTAACGCAGTGATTTAAGACTAGATACGTGATGGGTCCATGCTGCACTTCCTATGTCCAGAACAATTGTAGTGCAAGTGGTAGTGCAACAATGGACAATCTGCGCACTGTTTGGCAACCAGCAGCTCTCCACAGATCAAAATGAGAATTGAGCCAGCTGTGCACTGCGTAGTACTTACCGTTAGGAAGAGGTGAGACGATGCCCTAAGTTAGGGCTTGTCTCTGCATAATTCTGCACCGCCGGAAACATGTGACTGTTATTGTGTTTGTGTTTCTGAGATGCATGTTCCTTGATGTACTTCTACTCAGTCGCTGACACACCAGCTCGGGTCGACTCGAATTACCGTTACGCAGAGAATCCTTCCATTCCAGAGTTGGAAGGCAGTCCCTGGTAACTGTAGTGTTGGTACTGTTAAAGTTAGTACTGTTGTCGATGACGACGATGACGACAATGACCAGGAGCAGGAGGAGGAAGAGGAAGAAGATGATGGTGATGATCATGATGGTTGTAATGACATCACCATGGGCAGTGCACCACCATGGCAAGGGGTCCTCTGTGCAGGGGTTGGTTGTAAAGGGATGACATGAGGTAGTTGTCATTGCGCGCAGGAGCTACAAAACCAGCACGAAGTGCTTCTAGTACGACTTGATTCGTGGATGAGCCGGATGGAGGGTCACCTGCACAGGCCTGACGCCCTTCACCCAAACATCAATATCCCGGAAGAGGAGCTGGCTGAAGTTGTCACTCCTGCTGGCTTGTCATCGGCGGACGACGAGCCCACCTTCCCCCCGACAATAAGTGCTCGCGGCACCTCTGACAATGACCAGGATCATGACCAGTCAGCTGGTCTGGACAGCTACACACTGGCCAAGCAGCAAGGCTCGAAAATTGATATCCTCTTCCAGAGCAAAACCGAGGAAGCTTGGACCCTAGCACAGCTCACATCAGCGCTTGTCAGTAGTCATACAGATGTTGCATGATGTGACTCTACGTGCAATCGCAGCAACTGAGGCAAGCAGCCATGTTCCCAGCGCTGCGCTGGCGGCAAGCTGTTGTCCCACCTTACAAAGATGGTGTTCGCGGATTGTTGGTTCTCTTTTCTGCGAATTTTTTTTTGCGTTCGTCATCCTCACAAATTCAATTTATTTAGGAGTGCAGCTGGAAGTGACAGCCGCGCAGGGCCAAAATGCGGTGCACAAGGAGATTGCTTTCGCAGTCCTGAACATCTTCTATGCTGTAATTTTTTTATTGGAAGTGTGCTTGAGACTGACAGCATTCGGACCGAGAGCCTATTTCTTTGCCAGCAGTTGGGCTTGGAATTGGCTAGATGTCTTCGTGGTGACTTCAACATGGGTGGAGCTGCTAGTTGGCCTTTGGGAGGTTGAGGGCTCGGAGGGACTCTCGAACAGCAATCTCCGGCTATTAAGGCTTGTGAAGGTTAGTCGCCTGGCGCGCGTTATGCGCATGCTTCGGGTCGTCCAATATGTGAAGCCATTGCGGACCCTCATGCACTGCTTGGTGGACACCACGAAGTCCTTTGTCTGGTCATTTCTGTTGCTGTTCTTGATGATGTATGTCTTCGGACTGTTATTCACAGATGCAGTTTTGGATTTTATGGCTGATCAGCAAGAAGCAGCCCCTGATCAACCATCTGATTACGCTCAGCTGGCATACTTCTTTGGCTCTGTTGGTAGCTCCATACAAACGCTCTTTCGGTCAGTGTCAAACGGACTGGACTGGAGTGATGCTGCAGAAGAGCTGTGCCTTGTCTACAGCAAATCTTCTGGGCCTTTTCACGCTGCTTTTGTAGAATGCGTCCTCAGAATGCCGGGGATAAGTGATTTGCTGCTTTAGTATTCATGCCACGCTTTGGCAGTTGGCGATTCCAGGGCATGAAGCTGTTGTGGTGTGGATGTTGTGTGCCGAAAGAACCCTCGAGAAAATTCCTGCGTGTTTGCTGGACCTGACTCATGCCATCAGGGAGCCAGTTGGCTTCATTTGGGTTTGGATCTTCAACTTCTACATTTGCATCATCACGCTGGTGCTCGTCAATGTGCTCCTTGGTTTGGTGGAGGTCTTTTTGGGCTGCAAGCTTATGGCGACTAGGATTCTTTAAGGCTGTCAGGTTCAGCACAAACCCAAGGATCCAGTTTCACCTGCCCTGCTGAGAATTTTCCGGTGGATCCTGTTTGTACTAAAGGGGTTGCTGGCGGTGGATCCAATTTGCCAGCTTTATTGACTCATCTTCTGTCACGTTGGACACTGGCTTGTTTCTTTTTGTCAAAAAGTTGTGGTTGGGGGGAAGCCTTTCCGTTCAGATTGCCAGCTTCATCCGTTGCCCCGTTGCCCCGGGTTTGCTGTTGTTGCTTGAGGCGATTCATGCAAGCATGAGTCAAGTTTGCAATGTTCACAGCGTTGATCGCAATTTCAAGCACCTGCATGAGTTCATGCAAAGCTCGCCTTGTTCGGGGTGGGTTCCAGCACTTTGGTCTTCACCCCTCTACTCCACGCTATCGTCCCCTTTCTTACCTTGTGGCCCCTCCGTCATGGGTTCCCTGATGGTCCCTTGACGTGTGAGGGTCTGCACACACTTTTGTTCTTTCTTTTTTCGAAAGGGCCAGTGAACTGTCCTCTGACCCTGAAGTAGTACGGGAAGGCTAGGTCTGGTCCCGGTGCCCTTAGGCATGTATGTGCACCAATGACATCCTTTGCTTGCACTCCCATACCGTGTGCGCTGGCGCCGAGTGTTTATACAAATGACAGGGAATTGCTCTTGGAGCCAGATAATCTTTTGATCTGAATCTTTTTCATGTTGCTCACTGCATTGTGCATAGAGAGCCATGACCCTTTGCGATGCGCGGCAGACATTGCTATGAGCGGTTGTAAGCTATGGTCTCCCATGCAATGATAGGCGGCTGTTCTGACACAAGAGCAGAGCCCGAAAAATCACGTGCTCCTAGCCCATCTTATGTAGATCACGATTTATCCAAATCTATTTGGCTCAAGACACAACAGTTGCATGTGTCTTGCTTGTGATTATTACTGCACTTGGTAAAACTTCCGCATGAGCCAATGGGTAACCTGTTAAAAAATAGACCAACCTCAAAAGCAGCCCGCTCCTCGGTCACGCCAACGGGCATTCCCAAATCCATCCCACCTTGCCTGACGGTCCGCTCACGTCCTTGGGATAGCTAGGGCTTGTGGTGGTTGGAAGTTCCGTTTAATTTCTGGATTCAACTTCGGGAGTTCGGTTGATCTCGCCTCTGCCGGGATTCTGGACTCAAGACAGCAGGGACAGCCGGCTTGCGCTGAGTAAGCATTCCTAGACTGCCATCCCATTCAACTCACACATTGCCTTTTGCAAGGCATCTCCTGCTATCTAGCTCAGGCCCTTTGCACGCGTGCAGCTAAGGCACTTCGCACTCCACCGCCAATAAGTCGGCGAGTCTCTAAGGCCAGTAGGTCGGCAAGTTGCCAACAAGTCGGCAATTTTTTTTAAGGCCAAATTCTCGGCGTTGGAAGTGTTAGCGCCTCCTTCTCACTCCCTGTGCATGCTCAATCCTGAATGAGCAGAGGAACCTCACCGCATTGAGTTTCTTTCTATTGCTACCCAGCGGAGGGCGCAGCAAATCTCAAGAGAAGGTCGCTGTGCATAAAGCTTTTGGGGCTTTGATTGGAAGTGTTAAAGGGTCTGAGCCAGACTATTCGGAATGTGCCTGCCTTTAGTTGCCCCTTGCAGTAAGTAGAACATGCCGTGATGCTTCCATGCCGTCGTGTGTTGCCGTAGACATTACGTACCCCACAGAACCCTGAACCGAACTCCGAACCTGAACTCAGGACTGAACTCGGCGCCCCGACCCGAACCCGTAACCGAACTCCGAACCTGAACGCCAGACTGAACTCGGGGCCCGAACCCTGAACCGAA